GATTGTCCAGCCTGAATATTTAACCTCACAGATGTTTCAGCAAAGAGGACTCTTCTGAAGCCCCTGGAGAGGTGTGCAAATCTGTGCAGTGGGTGGTGGGGTCTTCGTCTCGCTAATGTCATGACCCAACCACCCCAAACTTCAATGCCTATAGACGTCTACCCACGCCAAGAACTTGCTTCCCTTTGCAGCTCTCAAGGAGTCCCTGTGGTTGAGCAAGTCAGCTGATTGTGAAGGAGAGTCAGAGGGCAATTTCTGAATCTGCCTAGGCTGCCGATTCCAGGTGCAAATCTCCAGGGCCACATTCCCTCAGTATCCCTCTCCCTGGGGAGGAGAGGAGGTGCAGCAAAAGGATCAAGTAATGGCTTTTAGTGCATGGAAATGATCTCCTGTAATGGCTCAGGATGCTTTATTCTCATCTATTGGTAAGCGCTTTCCTGCAGGTTTCCATTACACCCTGCCAGACTGACCCGGAGTCAACAAGATGGGCTGGCATGAGGTCACTCAACTCAAGGTTTCAGGGCCGAGAGGTGGCAAGGATGCTGTGCGAGAGTGGGGAGGAAGGGGCAGGCAGAGGGAGAGAGGGACAGAAAGACACCTGGAGACAGAGAGATGCACACAGGAAAGAGAGTGACAAAGAATGCCTTCTCACGGGCCTTCGTGCGTGTGCCGCCCATCTGCATCTGTGTCCATTCCAGAGGGTCAGATCTCAGGACAGGAGTCATGGGAACAGGTGGGAAGAAGGAACTACAGAGAATGTGAACCAATGCCCAGAAGTCAAGGGCCTTATCTGATAATCCAGGTACTGTCTATCACTTTTCAGTCCTGAGAGCAAGATTTTTGAAAGAGCTATTGCTAAAGGAAACAGTCACTGTTGATTTTATTGCACTTTTCCTCTTTTAAGAATATTTAAGTACAAACTATGAAAGATGGAACTGAGCTTTGGTGGAAAGGAAAACAGAAAGAAGGGGAAAGTGGAGGAGATTACTTTGAGGAACAGACTCATCCCAGCTTGTACCGGATCCCCCACTGCTACCTGTCCCTGCTCGCTACTCCATGGGGACATGGGGTTGGTCTCAACAAGGACCAAGTTCGAGAGTACACACGATGGTCACAATGGCTGCTGAGACAGCTCCCGGCATCCAACTCCCTAGTGGTTGGCTCGTGGTGTGGCTATTGATGTTAATAAGGTTAAGGTCAAACCTGACCATGGACACTTCACCAAGGATGGGGGACTCTCCATTGTGTAACCAAGGAATACCCTGGACATTATGGCCCTCTCAGACTGGTTGGCCATCACTCACATGCAGGTTGTTATGACATTGGGTTCCAGGAGAGCCCTAGGGACCAGGGCTCAGCAGTACCATTCTCTCTCCTGGGTAAACAAGTCAAAGTACCGTGCTTCCCTGCCTGCCACAGGGGGTAATGATGCCACCCCCCATACACAATTTGCCATTGTCTTATAGTTTCCTTTGGGGGAGGTTGGCCTCTGCCTCTCTTTCCCACTACTACGGAAAGCACTGGACCTGAAGACCTCTGAGGGTCTTCAGAGTGTGCTGCCTTCTCTCAACATGAGTTGATGCTGATACTTTATAGCTTACTCTGAGGAAGCTGGCCAGAATCCACTATAATGGAAGGAGAAATCCAGACAGAGTAGGCAGGACAAGCTAGTCCTGAAGCCCTCCTCATATGGGCACCCAGTGACATGCCTGTGCCATCCTCAGAAGCCCTGTTGAGCAGGTTAGAGGCAAGCAGAGAGGAAGGAAGGAAGGAAGAGAGCAAAGGAAACATAAGTTCAACTAAATTCGATTTTGGCTTCTTAATTCGATTTTAATTAATCCATTCGTTAAAAATTGGCTCCTGAAAAGTTTACTTTGAAATTTGACCAGCTGAGTTGTTTCTTTTTTTTTTTTTTCTGAAAACCTTTCTATGTTTCCTGGGCCTCTTTCTCTCCAGTCTCTGGAAAACCCCAACTTGCTTGAAAGTTTGAGCCCACAGAGGCATCTGGTAGAGACAAAAGGAAAACTGGTTTCTTGGCTTGGAAGCACAAGGCCCACTGAGGGACTCCAAACCATACATGGAGGACCCATGTGTCCATTTCCTGCCGTTATTGCCTCCTTCATGGGGACTGTGAACTGTGACCATCCTTAGGAGGGAACGGTGAGTCACACCTGGGAGAGTGCAGAGTGCAGGAGGAGGGACCATGGTGCCTGATCCCCAGGCCCACAGAAACTCCTAATTCCACTGCAGGTGAAGCCTTTGTCAAACTTCACTTAGCTCTCACCTAGTCCTACCAACTGGAGGAACCAGTTCCAAGGTAATCCAAGATGGTGGGTAAGCTTAGAAAGTATTTAAATCAGTGTGTTATTTGCTTGTTTGGCCTTAGGCTTATGTCCTTAATCATGTTTGACTTAAGCTGAATTGGTTTGCCATTTCCTGAAGGCACAGAAATTGAATGGAAGGCAGGACATCCCTGGGAGCCCTGGCGGGGAGGAGGGGGGCAGGCCTGGAACTGAACACCCATAGAAGGCAATCAGGAACTGTCCTTATTGGAATTGTGCCCAAGAGCAAGTGAAATGCCACAGGAAGTAAGGGTGGCTCATTTTGTGAGGCAAGTCTATGCAGAGCTTCAATTTTCTGACCTGGTCCCTCACAAAGCTGCTGGGGATGGAGGGGCAAAAAGGTCTGTGTGTTAGGGACATCTTTACTGTGGTTTGGGACCCAGAGGCCATCACTGCTTTTAAAAGAATGGCGCCGAATCTGAGGATTTCAGATGATGGAAGGCGGGGAACCTGAGCTGCTGGGCTGTTGGGGTGGACTTGTTTTGAGGGAAAGGTCATGATAAGGAGGTCCATATCAGGCTGCTGGCCATCCTGGGATCTTCCACACCCCACACCCTAGGGTGCTGGTGGGAGGAAGGTGAACAGGTTCACAAGATTCCTGTGCTTGATGTGGTAGCCCATCTTTCTGCCTGAAACCTCAGGGGTTCCTTTCTCAGGACTAAAATCTGCAGGTGAGAGAAGTGATGAGAGGAAAAGACTCCTTGGAGAAAACTGAGATACTAATATGAGCTAGGAATAGGTGATTAAAGGTGTTATTTTGTTTGTGTCCATTAATTTATAGATCTGGGGGCAGAGCAATGGATCTGAGTACATGTCTGTATGTCGTGTCTATTGCGTCTTCTTGGGCACGAGTGCTGTATTTTGTATGCCTAGTGTAAATATACGTGCATTGTGTGTACACCCTGAGTGTACAGAAATAATAGTGAAGCATCGTTTGTGTATTTTTTGACGCATATTCACTGCGTCCATGTAGTTTTGTGTATTTTGCATCTGAGTTACAGGTTGTGTGTTTGTACTTGGGGTATGTAGTTTTCTTGGAGGTGTTCTGTGTTTTGGTAAGTACAGTCTATGTCCAGACTGAGTGTGTATATTTCACCTCTAGGTAAAACCATAAATCTTCTGTGTCTGCCTTTTATATGAATTTGGCCTGTGTGTATTTCACATGTAGGTTGCATGTTTTGCATTTGTGTGTGGCAACACTGGATCAACATTTTGGGGGTAGATGTGCATGTATGTGTGTTGGACATTTTATAGTCCCCAGCCAAGGATGCTATGGAAAGGTATCTACCATCTGACATAGGTCTTAAGTGTGGATTGTTTTAATTTTCTATTTTCCAAAGGTCTGTGTCCCTCCAACCCCATGTCCTGAAATTCAGCACCACCTCCCATGAAGGAGAGGAAGAGACGCACAGAAGCTTTGTGCTGGGCATGAAATGCCCTGCAGATACCTGGGGATGTGGGTGACCAGGAACTAATGAGCACCCTGGGCCTAGCACCCTGAGCTGGTGCCCCACCCCCCCAAGACAAATGAAGGTGCCAACTAGCCAACAGTGAGACCTGGGCAGGAGCCACCACTAGACAGCCTACCATCATGATTTGCTACATTTGGGAAATTTAAGCCACAGTGTAAAAAGGCAAAAAACCCAGTCTGGTGAGGCAAAAGCCATCCCCTCCCCAATCCCAGGCTTAATCTACTCTCTATTTTTAGGCTATACAGTGATCACTTATTCCTTACCTGTTTTGGTAAGATGGGGGACAATTTTTTTTTAATCGATTCTCTCTCTCTCTCTCTCTCTTTTTTTTTTTAAATCAGCTCTGGTTCCCAGTTAAAGGGGGAGAAAAATTGAGTCTGGTGATTGAAATGATTGTTTTGGATTGTCTAGGGATCATAACCCTTGGTCCTAGATTTTAGAAATTTCCACATAGAAGGGTCTCCCTTTAAGTCCAAATCAATGGAAGTTGGTTCCTAGGAGTCCTATTCTTTGTTTCAAAGCAGGGGATCCAGACTGGCTCTCTAGGGATGGGTTCATGAAAGTGATGGATGCAGAGCCAAATGATACTGAAAACCAAATTGGGGGGGGGGGACAGTGGGCAAGATGAGAATGGAGATGATAACAGGACGGACCATCCAGAGGAGGCCTGGGGTGGGTCTGGCCCAGGACATCTGGAGCTGTGAGGGCCCCAGGGCCCTTGTGCACTCAGTAAGACAAGCTTCAGCCATGGGAAACTGAAGCTGCAGCACATGGAGGGCAGAAAGACAATTCTAACGTCTAGGAATCCATGAAGACTGGAGTATCTGAGGCAATGGCAGCAAACCCAGGCCCAGCGGGGTTACCAATGAGACCAGTGAACCCAATGGGCTTCTTACCAACCCACTGAGCAATGGATTTACTCCTGAACCTGAACTCCAGAGAATGAATATATATATATGTGTGTGTGTGTATACAATCATATACACACACATGTGTATATATATATATATATATATATATATATATATATATATATATATACTCTAGTGCACATAGTCAAACACATGCATAAATTGCCCTGTGTCAAAAATATTGCATAAGCTTATACAATGTTCAAATGCATTTTTTTCCTATAACTAGCTAGGTAGAGGAGCACATGAGACAGAAATACCCAATATATAGTTATATACACTGGATCCACAGACCTGCCTATCCTCAGGACTGACGCCCTGGTGCAGTTATGTCTATGACTAGGTTGATTCCTAAGGTGCAGTCGTGTGAGTGTTTAGACACTGCTTTCCCTGCTCATTCTTCTGGCTTGACAGAGGTCTGCTCTTCCACTGAAAGAACAGAGATGGGTGGGCTGGAGGGCCAGATATTTTGGTTCCCCATTCCCAATAGCCTATTTCCCCCCCCCCCTCTGATGGAGGGCTTTTGCCTTCGGATGGGAAAAAACCCCTAGTTCAAAACCATCCCAAGGCTATTAATACTCTAAATATGAATACTGTGTAGGCTACTAAGAAAATAGGTTATCTCCTGTGTTTTAAATATTGAGATTCATGCAATGAACACCCATGCAGTTCTATCGCATCACTGGTAAATTTCACTGCAGTGTCAGTGTAGCTGGGCCACATCACTAGGAAAGCAGATGTCTGCAAACTCCAGTGTAAACGAAGAAATCAGACATATTTCTGGTGACCCTGAAGCCTGCAAAATGGTGAAATCTGAAGCTGAGAGGTCCCTTGGTTTGGTACCTTCGCCCCACAGGCCCTAATGGAACAAATGTTGAGACTTGACAACTCACATTGGGTCATGCTAACTGTCCCTCCCCCAGGCTTTCCTCACATCTACAGAGAAAAAGCAGAATGCAGCATTTTTTCGTTATGAAACACAAGCCTCTGGATCATCTACTTGGCAACTGCAATTCACAAACCCCAGGTTGTGACACAGAAAGTAGTTCCAACACACACAGTACCGTGTGTTCTTTTCAATGCAAAAATGGGAATGACCTTTCGAATAATCGCCAGAGCTTTAAAGCTAAGCCATGATGGTTGTTCCTCTGGGAAGGGGCAGGTGGGCTCAAGTGGGTGACAGGGTGGGAGGAGGGGACTGCATCTCCCAGGTGTTGTGTGCATTTAACTAGGAAGGAAAGGGAGTGCTGATATGGTGGGTCGTATATTAGATATGAAGTGGCCTCAATGTGACTTTCTGAAATCCTGGCTCCATAGGTGACGCTCATCTTTGGAAACCCAAACCCTGAAGCCGGTGATGAAGATTTGCATGAAAGCTGTGATAGATATTCTGCATTCTAAATCAAAAATCAAAAGGTCAAAAGTCACTTGCACGACTATTGCTTTCCATGCAGAACCAGATGCACACTGTAGAACACACTGACTACAATGCAGGCTATTATGCAACATCTGCATTAGTTCCATTGAGCTGCGAGTATGTTAATGGGTTTCAATCAGACATCAGTTAACATTTTGGTAATATTCACATAGTTTGTGTTAGCCAAGGTGCAGTTGGCTGTTTTCAAGTTTTCCTCTCTAAAGTCCTCATTACTGTTGTTTACTCCCTCCTGGATCTCCATGTAATCCGACTTACTAATAGTAGAGGCACTTCTACTTTTCTTTAGGTCAGGGGAGGATGGAATCTTTGGACAGCTTGTCACTTGTAAGTACTGGGCCTGCTCCTCTCCCTCTGTCTCCCGGTGGTAGAAGTAGTTGAAATTAGACACTATGACAGGGACCGGTAAGGCAATGGTTAACACACCTGCAATTGCACACAGGGAACCCACTATCTTTCCCCCAATGGTAGTTGGAACCATGTCTCCATAGCCTACAGTTGTCATGGAGACGACTGCCCACCAGAAGGCATCCGGGATGCTGGGGAACTGGGAATCTCGCTCATCGGCTTCTGCAAAATAGACAGCACTAGAGAAAAGAATGACCCCAATGAAGAGGAAGAATATCAGGAGGCCCAATTCTCTCATGCTGGCTTTGAGGGTCTGACCTAGAATCTGGAGACCTTTGGAGTGTCTGGACAACTTGAAAATCCTAAAGACTCTTACCAAGCGGATGACACGGAGGATGGCCAGTGACATGGCCTGCTGGCCCTGCTGGGCATCCTCTGGCTTCTCAGCCAGCTCTGTCCCCAGAGTGATGAAGTAGGGGATGATGGCCACAATGTCAATGATGTTCATGATGTTGGTGAAGAAACCAGCTTTGCTCGGACAGGCAAAGAACCTCACCAAAAATTCGAAGGAGAACCAGATGATGCAGAGAGTCTCCACAATGAAGAAAGGGTCGGTGAAGGAGGTGGACTGCTGGTACCCGATGGTGCTGTTGGAGTAGGTATGGAAGGTCACCCCACCACCATGCATGTCTTCATTCTCATCTCGGAAGATGGGCAGTGTTTCCAGACAGAAGCTGACGATCGAGATCAGAATCACCATAACAGACACAATGGCTATAATCCTGGCAGGCCCTGAGCTCTCTGGGTATTCAAAGAGAAGCCACACCTGTCTTTGGAACTCATTTTCAGGCAGAGGACGTTCTTCCTCCTTGATGTAGCCTTCATCCTCCCGAAACATCTCCATTGCTTCTTCTCCCAGTTCATAAAACCGGATTTCTTCCGAAAATATATCTAAGGGCACATTCACAGGTCGCCTCAGCCGGCCCCCAGACTGGTAGTAGTACAAGATGGCATCAAAGCTAGGGCGGTTGCGATCGAAGAAGTACTCGTTTCGGAGGGGATCAAAGTACCTCATCCGCTTCTTAGGGTCCCCTAAGAGGGTCTCTGGAAACTGGGCTAAGGTCTTTAGCTGGGTCTCAAACCGCAGTCCTGAGATGTTGATCACCACCCTCTCGCAGCATTCGTGGTCTGCTTCTGGGTCATAGGTGTCCTGTGGGTGCCCAGGGAGGGCAGCAGCCTCATCTGCTGGGTCTCCAGTGGCCACTGTCATAATTGGGACTGAGAGGAGCGCCTCGCGCTATGCCTTCCAGCTGCCTGGTGGCAGGGGGCTCAGGGTGCTGCTAACGGCCCCAGGAAACACAGAAGCATTAGCTTGAGCTCCTGCAGGAGAGCCCCCCAAGCTCTCTGAGAGCTGGAGAGGCAGCCTCGCTCGGCTGAAAGACAGAGGCAGTTAAGGACATGAGACCAACCAGCACTGGCAACCCTACCTGGGTTGCTGCTTGCTGTCTCCCATCTCTCAGCCAAGAGTCCAGAAACATGACAACTACTGCCGCCACCACCACCATCACCACCACCACCAAACAGCGGAATTACTTTCACCTTGTAACTTGGCTGGGGCCAGAAGAAGCAGGGAGGAATCTCTCAAGGAAGCTCTGGAATGCCTTGCACTGGGGAGGGCTGAGACAGTCCCCCTCTGTACCACACAGCATCCTGGGGTATAAAACCCAACTAGGAGGCTGGAAGGGACCCCTGCCCCAGGAAGGGCACTGATGTCTCACATATACCTGCACCCTGGAATCTTGGACCTAGTCCTTCTTCACTGATCCCACCCCATGATTTTACACATGGCTGTTATTAAATGATAGATTGATTTACCTGGCCAGGCAGGAACCTCTGGCTCTCTTCCTTGTGAAGCAGATCAGATGCTGTAGGAATCCTCGATCCACAAACAGGCAGCCCAACTCCCCATCACGTCTTCTCACTTGAGCTAGAAATAATGGTGAGTCATTCTGGGCAGGAGGGCAGGCTCCAGGTCCTGGAGGTGAGCTCTAGGGCTGGACTGGGCTGCAAGGGCAGTGGGGTGCCTGGCCAGGGGCATACAGGACTTGAGAACAGCAGAGCTTGGGTCTGGAGCCTTTGGAAAGAAGGAGGTAAGATGCACAGCTCAGCAAAAGCCGGAGTCCTCCTGGCTGTCCTCAGGAGGTGTGACGTTGCCTGGAAAACAGAGCAGCAAGGTGGAACCATGGCTTTGGGGCAGCTGGTACCAAGATTTAGGAGGGCTTGGGCAGCTCCCCTCACTGCAGGTGACAAGCCCCGTGACAACCTTTCATTTTGGCTGTTCATGGCTGAGAACTACCCCTTAGCTTCCCAGCCTCTTCTGGGCAGGTTTTCTTCCCATCAGCTGGAAACACGTTTCCCCCCCAGGGAACAAGCCTTCAGGCTTGATGGGGCTGCCTTCTCCAGAGGCCTCTCCAAGCTAATCCAGACCCCTCGTTTCCAGCTGCCATAATGAGCGACTCCGGCAAAGCACCCCCCACCCCTACCCCATGTCAGGACACACATCTCTCAAGGGGAGGACTTCCTCTCCGCAGTCTGACTACAAGCTCTGACCTCAACCGTGTCCTGGCAGAAGAAGCACCCCACCCCCTTCCCAACCCGCGCACTCATTCAGAGCTCATCCAGGGAGACCCCACACGCAGCAAGGTCACCCATGTAGAAATCCGGATGGCCTAGTCGCTGAACTTACTCTCCCTCCGGGATCCCTGGGCCGTAGACCTCCCTCTGGGCCGGGTGGCATTTGAGCTGGCCAGGCGCTCGACCACTGATTTCTCCCCAAGAGAAAATCCCTTACATCTCCTCGGCAGGGAGCGCTGAACAAACGCTCAGCCTGCTTGGCTGCTAGGCGGCTTGGCAGCCGTGAGATGGGGAGCCTGGAGGAGGCTGGCTTCCGGCCTGGCCCCCTGCCGACCCAATCCCGCCGGCCCCAGGGCGGGGAGGGGTCTGGGCCCTCTCCCCATCGCCCCGGGCCCCAGCCGGGATTCCGCGGGGCGCGCTCCCTGCACTGCTCAGAGCCGGCGACCAGACCTTCCAGCTGGCCGCGAGCGAGAGCGCCACCTTAACCCCTTCCAGCCTGGTGTGGTTAGCTCCGGCTGCGGGCCCGAATGCAGCCCGGCTTTCCCCCCTGCCAGGTTCAGCGGAGGGACCACCGAGGCTCCACCTCCATCCGAAAAAACAGGAGATTGAACTCTGGGGGTGGGGAGTAGGCTGCACCAGGCTGCTGTCCCAGATCCCAGCCTGATCCAAAGCACGGGGGTTCCCGGTAGCCCACGGCCCCTGCAAAGGGGGAAAAGACCCTCTCTGCAGTGAAGCCGTTTTTATCTCGTGCCAGACCCAGTCCTACCAACCCGCGCTATTTACCAGACATGGTTATGCTGTCGGCTGCACTTCCCATCACCCGCCAGCTCCTCTCTGCGCCCTCCGCCCCGCGCCACGCCACGCAACCACAGAGGGTCCCCGAGCCCATTCCATGCACTCTACTCCTGCGGGGCGCAATCCCCCTGGCCCGCCCGGGGCTAGGACACGACTGGCAGATATCCGGGGTTGGCACCGGCTCACCCTCCCGGAGACCAGCCCGACCCCGCAGCGCTGCAGGCTGTGCCGCCGGGTGCCCTGCAACCCTTCTGGGTGCCGCAGCTGGGCAGGGGAGGTACCACTCAGGCCAATATCCCGACACTGATCTACCCTTCCGACCTGGCACCGGAGTCTCCATGTTTCTCAGTGACGGCCAGCGTCGGCAGGACCCCGGCACGAGAGGCGGCGGCGGCGGGGTGCGGGCGGCCAGCCGGGAGCCGGTTCTGCAGTCCCGCGGGCGGCGCGTAAGGAGCGCCCGGCCGCCGCCCGCAGCCGCACCGCGCCGCACCGCGCCACGCAGCGCCGCACCTGGCCCGGCAGCGAACTCGAATTAAAGGGCCCGGTGGGGGCCAGAGCCAGCAGGCGCACTGCTCGCCCCCACCAGCTCGCTGGCCGTCCAGTTGAATCCCCTGGCCTCGACCCCCACCCCACCAGGAAAACACCCCATTCTTTGGTGTAGCCCAACTTACTAACCAGAACCCCGTTGCAGAACTCAGTTGAGTGTTGCCGGGGCCCAGAGAGATGGAAGGGGCACAAGTTGAGGAGTGCTCAGGAGAGGCTCTTGCCAACATAATGAAGTAGGCAAAGAGGAAACAATCAATAGCAGCTATCCCAGGCCCGAAGCGGGATCCAGCCCCGCGGGAGACGTGTTGCTATTATTACCACGCTGCCAGACAGCATCTGCAGACCCTAGACCCCCTCCTTGTCCTCTTCCTCCCGTGTCCCCCCTTTCCCAGCTCTGCGTCCCATCTTGCTCTTACCCAGCGAAGATTTGGCTTCTCAGGGGAATGCAGCAGGTGCGGGCCGGGCTGCAGTGTGGCAGAAACTCGCTGCTGTGTTTGCCCCCACCGGGAGGAGCCGCAGGAATAGGGATCACTGCAGGGCTGGCTATCTTGCTTCTCCAACTCCTTCCCCGCAGGACCTTGGCCAAGAAAGACTGGGGAACACGCAGTTGCCCTTGGGAAGGGCCAGCTACTGGACCTTTTCGCAGATCTGGCAAAACTAGCTGGTCAATGGGGTTCTGAACTTGGGGGTGCAGCTCCGAGGATTCCGGAGCGCAGCATAGGGGGAAGTCCTTTACTTTTAGGAGAATGTGCATAAGGAGCCCAGTCCGCTCTTTGTTTAGATGTGGGATACCAGGAGGTCCATGTTGCTTTTGGAAGCCATATGAAAGCCTCAAGCCTTTGCTAGTTCTGTTCTCTAGATCCCAATAAGAATCATGCAGGCAGGTGTACCAAACAAAGTTTCCTGGAGATAAGACCACAGTAGACACAGAACTCTGGGTACAGAGGGGCTTTAATATGGAGAAGACTCCTGCTGGCTCCTCCCTGCTCACAGAATTTCCTGCACCCCATGATGGAAGCTCTGAGAACCTATAATGTCAGGCTAAGTGGGATTCTGGCGTTTCACCTAGGTAGTCTATGAGATTTAGACTGAGGTTATACCTAGAGTTGCACTCCTGGAAACCTCTCCTGACCAGCGCTGAGGGGCTCTTTCTCCTTGCCACTCTGGGTTCTCATCTCCATTAAACTACAATCGTTTTATACATCTGATCATGCCTATATATTTTCTTTGCCTTTGTTAAAACGGAAGATGTGGACAGAGAAAAGCCTATGAGGGAGAATTGATAATCGTTCTAATTTTTGACATGTGGTGACCATATGGTAAGCACCTCTAACCTAGCGCAACACTGAATCCTCGTGACTCTATGACATGGTGTCTACATCATTACCATTTCATAGGAGAGGAAACTGAGCCAGAGAGAGGGGATGTAACCTGTCCAAGGCCAATAAGTCTAGACTTTTAAGACTTGAATCAGGTATTTTCATCTCTTTCTTTGGCATCTTATTTTGGCCCCTGTTACTACCTCCTAACTAGCCTTAGGGGGACGTTATCCTCTCTTTCCCTTCTAAGTCTGACCTAAGTTTGAATGACAATGAAAAAGAAGTTAACAGAAGAAGAAGGAAAAGGAAAAGGAGTGATGGGAGGGGGGTGGGGAATAAGGAGGGGAAGAAAAGGACCACAATAACAGTTGTTTAGGAGCATTTCAGGCTCCTTCCCTTAAAGGTACCTCTTCCAGTTTCTTTCTATGGCAGCACAAAAAAATGGCAGTGAAATGATGGTAAGCCCCTGCTCAGCATTGACACTTGCTAGCTATGAGAACTTGAGCAAGTTATTGAAACTCTCTGAGCTTCAGCTTCCTCATCTGTCCAATGAGAGAGCAAAGCTACTTCACAGGGTAGCTTTTAAGGATTAAACTAATTATAAGGAGTGGACAGTCAGCTGGCTTCATTGGTGGGCTAAGCTAGCAGGTGTTCAATCCCTGCACTACCTTTCCAATACTATAGAGGTCACCATTTCCTATTTTTGGCTTTAAAAAATAGAGTCACTTGATCTTTTCCCTAGGGCAGGGAGACCCCCCCCCCCCCAAAAAAAAAAAAAAAAAAAAAAAAAAAACAAAAACCCAAATACCAAAAAACCAAAAAACCACTCCCTTCCCCTTTGGTTTGGTTTCCTGCTTGGGGAAGGTTTCCTTCAGTGGAGGGAAGGGCTGTGGTGCCCACTGCAGTGAGTGGTGGGCAGTTATTTAAAAGAAGAGCTTATCTCAGAAAGTCAAGGGTCATATGTTTTCTCTCATATATGGAAGCGAGAGAGGAAAAAGGAAAAGGAAGTTGGGGAGGACTGGCATGAAGATCTAAGGGAGGTCAGCAGAGTAGAGGAAAGGGAGCCAGTGGAGCGAACAGGGGAGGGAAAGGGATATACTGGGGAGTGATATTGATTGTGTGCATGTATGAATATGGAACAATGAATCCTACCATTATGTACAATTACAATGCACCAACAAAAATATGGAAAAAAATAATAGGTTATGATGGTGTGTGTGTGTGTGTACACACATGCACTCACAATTAGCTGCTAAATGGTGAGGTTGGGACCAAATTTAAGATTGTGTGACACTGCAAGTCACCATGCCATTCTAGTTGAGTGTCAGGCCTCTGGCTAAATTCCTGGTCCCCGGAACATGAATTCAGTCCAGAAGATCTCAAAGACTCCCAGGGCACATCTACGTGGATCTACTGAAGAGAGTCCAGCTTATCAGGAGGCCTGTTTTAGAAGGGGGGTAGTACTGGTGTTGGTACTTAAGCTGTTTACACATTAACTCAGGGACTCAAGGTAGCCGTGCAAGATTCTGGCCCCAAAGTCTGCTCTGGACTGGTTCCCAGAGTAGCTCTTTCAGTGCTTCTCAAATTTGTAAGCCCTGGGCTTAGTACCACTTATCCAGATGAAAGGGAAGTACAAGGCACAGCCATCTGATTAGGATTGTGTGCTGTGTTTTAGTTTTAGCATGCTGAGCTGTGTGACCCAAGGATATTCACCAGACCTCTCTATGCAGCAGTTCACTTGTGAATTAGAAAGGATTACATTCTTTCCACCCACACCCCTTGCTCATAAGGTGCAAAGAAGGAAAAAAAGATGGAAACTAAAATTCATTGCTACATGATTTCAAATCTCATTTGTTAGGATCAAAGAGGATAATAATGCACATACATATGCCTGAAGAAGCAAAAACCCCAGGAGGTGTGAGCCAAACGCTGGGAAGACCACCTTGTCAGTTGCTACTGTGGTGGTCAGACCCTGCCAGCGCGCATTGCTCCTGACATTGGAGCACTTCTCTTGGACGTGGAATGGGCACCATTCTGGCTCCTCACTGACCTCAGAAATCTGCTACTTAACTCAGATGTCCAGGTTGGCCTCCTGCAGGAAGCTTTCTAGATTAACTCCTGCTGCCTCCAGGGGCTCTGGTGTGGAACCTGACCCTTGGCTCCGGTCCTGAGTCGGCTACTCACTCATTCCACTCCTGGAAATACTGGCTAAATACAAGAGTCTGTTGAGGGATGGCTGAAGAGGGCAGGCCCTTCTGCACACTTGGACTGCTGCTCTGGGTCAGTCCCTCTGTTGTCTATTGTCCCACAGTTGGGTTCCCTCCTTCTACACTGACCCCCAGGCTCTTGCCTGGGCTAATAAATAGCACAGCAGTCAGAGAGCAGTGGGTTCCGGCAGGTCTAGGGCCTGATCCCAGGCCTGCCGTGTTTGAACTCTCTGATCATTTCCTCATCGGTACATTTTTACTTTGTGGCTGGAAGGCCGAGCACCTGAACCAGGGCCCAGGCTATCTGAACACTAAGGCCAGCCCCTGGTGGCACTGTTCTCCGAGCTTTGCCACCGTCTTCTCCACTGGGAACAGAAGTCGGGTGTTTTGCGATGAGCTGTTGTGGCAGATGCCTTCTGTGTTCCGGTCACCTCCCCTCGGGCCACCTGTGACTTCAGCTGCCTGACAAGTCACTGTCCCCTGGCTTTTCTGATTCACGGTTCGTTCTGAGGCTGGGGTGGCCCACATGAGCTGCCAGGGTGGCAGGAGGTTGGGGAAGGCAACTCTATAGGTTCTGGCCTTCAGACCCTAACCAGAGGGTTCAGGTTGGACAATAGCCCCCGAATGGCTCCCGTCAATATGGACTCCCAGTTGCTCACAGTGGTAACCGCCCCATCTCGTGTCCATCGGACTGAGGCAGGACAAAGTCCAGAGCGAATGTCTCCTGACCTGTTCCAGGCAGCTCGGCTGTTTCCCAGCCCTTTCCATGGCCAGCTGGCTGCCTGGGTCTTCTGTCTCCTGCACAGGAATCTCTTCGGCCCTACTTCCTTGTGCTGTGAGAGACACTACCATCCTCCCAGCTGCCCAGACCACAGCCCCAGGAGTTCTCTCTCATCTTCCTCCTCCACCTCGATACCCTGCACATCTAGCCAACCACTTGGTCTCTGCATGGTGCTCTCTGATTTCCTTTCCCTCTTCTGCTGCTCCACAGAAGCTACCAGCAGGCTTGATCTGGGCCCTTGCGGCCTGGCCGTGGCCTTTACTGTAGCCTGCCTTCAAATTAGCTCCTCTCTGGCCTCTTCTCCCCGCCCCCCCAGGCCCCCATCTGGCCACCGACTCCACGCCCAGCTGTGCAGGGTATCGAG